ATGAACCAGAGGAGGAGGTGGATGGAGCGTAGGAGAGACTCAATCTGTGTCAGTGCCTTAGTGAAATAAAAGTAGAGTCAGCTAATTCTAGTTTAGCGTACCGTCAATAATAGTAAGCTTGTTTGACCCCGTGAATGATGTTCTCCAACTCAGCGTTTTCCCTCTCTGCTGTGAGTCATCCTTAATGTGTTCCACTGTGATGATCCAGTCCAAATATTTACCAGTATTCATGAGGAAGGCTTTGTTTGTCGCAGCACTGTCAGGTGCAGACACAGATATTATTCATCCACGATAAATATGTTCACAAGATTCAGAGGGGGGGAAGTTGTAATTTACTCCTGGTATGATTGTTAAATTTAAAAAAAGGAGGTGGTAACAGCTACTTGATATTCGCAGGTGCGACGAAGCTTGTTCCCATTTGACCAGGAGGAGTTGGAGCTGATTTGAAGACAAGAAGAGTAGAGGTCTTTAATTACAACCCTCTCTGTGGCTGCAGGCGCCGCGAGCCCCACTTCACAATTAAGACCAGCAGTTAGCAAGCAGCCAATAGAAGGAGAGGGGAACTTGAAGCAGCAGAATCACCAAACCAAAGGGAAACACTGAATAAATCAGGCTAGACAAAGGAAAATGACTGATTTTTAAAACTAAAACATGACCCTGTGATGCACCCAGGTAATGCCAATGGGACAGTTTTCCCAGAAGCCCCATTGAAACCCCTCCCATAATATGTGTCTGTCGTGCAGTGTACTCCGGCGCTGTAATGGCCTCTGCAGCCGTAATGTGTTTGGACAGATGGGGAGAGGCAAGTGCTGATGTGCTTAACTACGCATTTTACAGCTAAACTATTAAAGACTTGTGCTGTTTACACACCAACATTTGAATACCTGTCTTCAGGCCAGTTTAATTATCCGGGCCCTTCTGTTATTTTCTGCCCCGCTTTGTTGTCTCTCAGCTTTTTGCACGAGGCATGAGAGATTTGTTTGCGGCTTCATTAAGATACGGTGGTAGCGGTTCGCAGGGAGCCAAAATGTTTGTATTCCTGCTCAAGTATCTGGCGCTCTATTCTCCCCTGCCTCCTCCCCCCCCCCCCACATACATATACAGATACTGTACACATCCCTTTTCTCATAGAGTCATTTAAAGTGAGAAAATTAAAAAATGCCCTGTGGTGCCTGCACTTTGAAATCTCTCGGGGGGCTTTAGGCAAAAGGGGAGGCGACACAAGCCCCGTGTCCCTGTGATTCATCCTGAGACATTTGATTAGTTTATAAGTACTTATGGAAAGGGAAGGGCTTGCATTATAATTTTGTTTCATGAATTCCTTCATATGTTCATCTTCAACTGCACGTTCAAATAAAGCATTAATCAAAGGGGCGAGAGGGAAGAGGGCATTTAGCCAGCAGAGCCACCGTCTCGGGCCTCAGTGAGCCGGTGGATATGTATTGAGAGACCGTAGGAAGCAGTGGTTTTTAATTATCTGGACTACGTACAGGATGCCGTTTTTGATTGTTTTAATGAGGCAGCTGGCCTATTGTCTCGCCTTAATTCCTCCATTGTTTTTAGAATATGTCATAGTTCTTTATTCTTTTATCAGGTGCTCTGCAGGAGGATTTAGACAATAGCCTTCATTCTAACTGCATTGGCCACTGCACAAAGGCAGCTCACTGCAGACAGTTAGCGAGGCAAACAAGTGCAAATCACAAGCTGCACTTTTCCCAGCCTTTCCCCCACTTTCACCACCGCTCTAACTCTTGACCCCCCCTCCCCGCTCCCTCTTTCATGCCATTGTTATAGGTGGCTCACCTGTGTTCCTGTGATTAAAATCACCTGTCATGGAAAGGCTGTCAGAGGGAAACAGCCATGACCAATCTTTCAGGGGACAGCTCCTTCACGGGTTGTTTTGTTGCCCACCTGACACCCTGTGCTGTCGGTGTTCTATACCATGCATCTCTATATGTGCATGGAAATGACACGGACATAATGTGCTGTAGGTATGTTTGGGTGTTAGGACGGCACGGTAAATCACACATTTATATTTCTAAATGTAAAATAGTGATGTGAAGCTATGCAGGATCACGATGCATTTCAGAAAACAGTAGAAAAAACATCCAAAATGCTGAAAAATCCATTAAAAACTGTCAAAAATAGAAAGCAATATCTGGGATTTGCAGTTTGATGAAATGTTTACTGCACATGTTCCTTACTACCTTGTCTTGGTTGAGCGACTGTTACAAGTGCTGCCTCAGTGTTTGGTGTTGCTCAGTAAAACTGGGACACGCCGTCCTAAAACTCACTTCCAGCATTCTCACACACACCAGATGGATCTGTAGCATTCTTGGCTGAAGGGATGCAAATCTGAGTGCTTATTCCGCCGTCAAAATGCAGTAAAACACTTCCATCAGACTCCATTTTATTTCAGCTGAGGAGAGCATACAGTATCTTTGATATGGATTGATCTAAAAAAGACTGATTGGTATCTATAGTTCGTAATTCTCTTTGTAAGCAGAGCGCGTGTGAACTAAAAGATCCATTCAGAGGGAAACTTGTGTGGCTGTGACTGCGATATATTCCCCCCGCCATTGTCAGTGGCAGTTTGTATCTACCTTGATGGTAACTTGGGCAGACAGTGGAGAGGAGTTTTGTTATTTTAATTAGGAGATAAAAATTCAAAGGGGCCTCTCCAGGCAGTGTGTGGTATGACAGAATCAAAACGATGAAGTGGAGCGGCCTGAAGTGTGTGTCTCGTCACAGCAGATTGGCCGACAGATAGGCCACTGCTCTTTAAACACACACACACACACACACACACACACACACTTACGGGGAGGAAGCCTGCACACAAATGGGACTTTGAAAGATAGCATATTTTAATACTATTTCACTCCTTTGACACGTTTGTGCTGGTCTAATTCTCAGTGCTTCACCAGCAGATAGGGAGGGCTAGGAAAAGAGTTGAATCAAAACAGTGATGTGAAATCTGAAATATTCAATTTTACATAAATATAATGGGGCTATTCTGTTCATAAGGTAATTTATACATAAAGCTTTCCGAAATAGTGTTGAGGCTCATTCTATGGTGGTCGACAGGGGCAAATGCGCTACAACAGCCCCAACAACTTCCATAAGGAGAAACGCACTGCACTTTTAAAAACAATTCAAACATAAAAACACAAATGTGCCAAAACATGTGAAAATGAAGAAACATCTTCACCAACTTGACGACACACGCACAGCATTTACTAAAGTTGCTGCATAAACGAAACGCTGCAAACATAAAACACTGCAAATAAAAGATGTTTTGTCATATTATAGTTACGTTAGCTAGCTACTGTAGCTTCCAGCAGATCTGCAATAACACCGGGAGGAACCATGCAATCACATAAGCCAATCAAATGTCCAGTGACAGTGGTCCAACTTTATTGATCAACAAGCTCTCCGGTCCCAGCTATGAGCGTCACCTTGAGTGTTCCCTTTCCGTTGTGCCTGGAGGAGTGATGAGATATCTTTCCAAATAGTCATTGTTAATTAAGAGCTTTGTTATTGCAGCGTTTTGTATATACAGTATGCAGCACTTTTAGTAAACCCTGTGCATGTTTCGTCAAGTTAGTGAATGTTTTCTGAATGCTGCGCGTGTTGTTGGATGTTAGTGAAGATGTTTTATTTAATTTTCACGTGTTGGCACGTTTGTGTTTTTTACATTTGCATCATTATGTTATGTGCAGCGTGTTTCTCCTCACGTGTGTTGCAGTGCGTTCGCTCCTGTCGGCCACCGTATCATTCCCTAACTGTAGTTTCCCCATTTCTAGCAAATCCACAGCAAAGTGGATTGTTTTCCTTCAGTCCTCGAGCACCTTCACCGTGTCTACAGGGTGGCTTTAAACCCAGTGATTCACAGGTTTTGTGTAAACACGAGTAATCAGTGTTCCACATGTGCGGGGGCTTTTGGAGCCGCATCCCCCCTGCCTGCACACCTCTCCTCAGGACTCTCTTTATTCCACATCAGCCAGGGCTCAAATCACATGTCCCCCTCTCAGCCTGACACTCCGTCGGTATGTTTGCACATCTTTGAAAGCTAACAGCGTGCTTTAATTAATTGTCCAGCTTTCCTCAGAAACAATGTCCTAATTCTGCCATTTAGCATGAGCGTATCATAGTTTGTTGTTATCTCCCCCGCCAGATTTCTGTAAATAGTCATATTAAAAACTTTAATCTCTTCAATGGAAAATGAAGTGCAGCTGAAAAGCCTGTCATGTGCTGAGATAAATATTATCTAAGCTAAAACCTTCACTCTCTCCCCTCTACCCCCCCCCCTTTCCCTTCCTTCCCCCTGCACCCTCCCCCTTCCTCTGACTTAATGAATATGTTCAGAAGATTTCAGAGGAATGCTTAATCCCAAAACACAACAATCTAATAATATGAAGGACCTGTCTCAGTGTTCTAGCTGACAACAGCACTGTGGGCTACAGTTTACCCCAGCTGAGGTTTTCCTGGCTTCTGGATATCAGTGCTTGGAGCCTAAAAGACGTTTGATTGACAGAAAAAATTGACATTTTTAAAGGATTTGTTCATTCTTTTTGAAAAACACATTTACACATGTACCTTCAGTGCATAGTTGCATTTGGGAAGGTTTTTTTTAGATATCCGTCTGTGAATTTCAGAATGTTCTAAACAAAGGAGGTTTTATAGTACTCATAGCATTGAATAACTTGTGACAGCATCCTCTGAGAAATAAGGGCCATCATTTTTGGAAAGACATGTTGCTGCCGAAACACTTACATGTCATTTTTTTATACTTTAAGGGGGAAGAGAAAAAAAATCCACTCATGTTTCCACTACATACTGTTATGCAACACACCATTGAGTCTTTGAGATGTTGTGCACACAAATATATTTCTTATGTTGCGTAATGCCTTGACATTTAAGTCTCACGTATACATGCAGCACATGCTCTTCTCTTGGGGCATCGGTTCTAATCTCTCGTCTATTTCTGTTTTGTCCAGGTGGCCAACTATGGTGCACCACCACCAAGAACATGATGGAGGGCGAGGAGCTGGTGGCGTTTGCGGTGGACTTTGACACGCGTCTGCAGGCGGTGAACCACATGTCTCTGAGCGAGGGCATGTACCCAGCCAGGCTGCTGGACAGCATCCAGCTCCTGCCCCAGCAGGCCGCCATGGCTTCCATCCTGCCCACTGCCATCGTGAACAGTGAGTGTCCGTGCATCAACACCAGCAAGACATGCTTTTGTTCCCACAATCACACATGCATGCTCTCCTTCTCTCTCTCGCACACACACACTGTTCCACAGCCTGCACTCAGTCACCTGCTTAACAAGGAGCGTCGTCTCCGCCGGGCGTAGATTAACCCAGATGAGTCTCTGCGCCGGAGATAAGAGCCATCGACCTTCAAGTTTTGGGTTCACATAAACACACTGAGGCTCGGACTAACGTGTTAATTGCAAAATACACGCCTCATGCAAATAGTGTGTTTGTTTACTTAGTGAGGGCTATCTGGGTTCAGCTCGACAGGGAGGCTTCTGTAAGCAGATGGTCCAGTGTTCTTGTTTGCCCTTGAGAAAGGGCACCAACCGAGTGGTAGCAACACAGCGATATGCAGCAGCTGAGGATTTAAACGCAGGCTTTGAGAGTCAGAACTGTAGAGAAGAGGAGTGTGTGTGTGTGTGTGTGTGTGTGTGTGTGTGTGTGTGTGTGTGTGTGTGTGTGTGTGTGTGTGTACGTGCGTGCAAGCTCTTTATCTTTATACTTATGCATAAATATGAAAGTGCGCTATATGTCCTGATATCCTGTACCCTTTGTCCCTTTCCTTGTCCCTCCAGAGGACATCTTCCCCTGCAAGGCATGTGGGATCTGGTTCAGGAGCGAGAGGAACCTGCAGGCCCATCTGATGTACTATTGCAGCGGGCGACAGAGGGAGCCAGAGACGGTGGTGGAGGAAAATGACAGCGGCCCCCACCAAACCCCCAGTTTGTGCCCCTTCCCACAGTGCACCAAGACCTTCTCTGGAGCCAGGGCCCTGGAAATACACCTGAGCACCTCACACAGTGGTGAGTTTCATGGATTCAGAACACTCTTTAACATAATAGATTACAATATTTGTACATATGACAATTCATGAAGGTGGCTACTTTCAATTCATTTTTTAAGTAAGATGTTTTAGAAAAATATACACAGGGACAGAGTTTAACACAGGTTTGAAAAAAATGACTGTCATTTCCTTTCAGAAATATACATATCCTGCTGTCAGCTTGCATAGTTGACAGTTTATCCTTGAGCAACAAAAAAGAAATCGAGTGGATGGGAATAAGCTTGGCATATTGCATGAGCGTTTGATGGTGTCTAGAGTTAACTCTAAAGGAGAAGTGGGAGGCGAGATTCTGAGCATTTCTCCCTTTTATCTCCTTCACAGGTGTCAAAATGGAAGAGAGCCTCCCTCCTGGCACCAGCTTGAAATGCACAATCTGTAACTACACGGCAGATTCTCTTATTACATTCCAGCATCACATCATGTCTCACCTGTCACAGGCGGCCTTCAGATGCAATCACTGCCATATCAGCTTCCAGAGCCACAGGGAACTCTTACAGCATCAGGACTTACATGGGCACGGTAGCAAACTTCACAGGGAAGGCGACGGCACCGAGCATTCTCCCAGGGGGCCCGAGGAAAGCCTCCAGCAGCAGAAGCAGCAGGCCCGCGCTGAGCTGGCCAACAGGAAGGATGCTCTGCTGGGAAGTCCCAAAGGGGCCCTCAACAAGGAGACCAGCACAGACGGAGAGGCTGACAAGGCAGAGAAGAAGCCCATGCTGTCCCTTCAGAAGGGAGAGGCTCACCCAGGCAGCAAAGCCAGTTTTTCTTACACTAGGATCAAGTCTGAGCCCTCCAGCCCCCGACTGGCCTCCTCCCCTGTGCAGCATAACATGCCTACATTTCCCATGGGCCCCTTCTTGTCTCAGTTTGCTTTCTCCCAAGACATTTCAGTAGTCCCACAGGCTTCTGAGATTCTTGCTAAAATGTCAGAGCTAGTTCACCGGAGGCTGCGCCACGGAGGAAACAACTACCCCCCTGTCATCTACAGTCCTCTTATGCCCAAGGGGGCCACCTGTTTCGAATGCAATATCACCTTCAGCAACCTAGACAACTATTTGGTCCACAAAAAGCACTACTGTAACAGCCGCTGGCAACACATGACGAAGTCCCCCGACTTCTCCGCCCTCTCAGACAAGGTTCCAGAGGCGGTGAGCCCCAACAGTGGGCACAGTTCTGTTAACATGTTGACCGGCTGCCACCCTACGGACGCCGACAACCACCTCATGCAGTCCGCCTGTCTGACCTCCAATGTGTTGGACATGATCAATGCTGGGGCTAAAGGGCCAGAAAAGGATCTAGCTGGACAGGTGAAGAAGGTCTCTACCCCAACTGGGGCTGAAGAGAGGCTCAATGGCCAGCCCTTGGAGGGAAAAAGCCCCACTACTGGTCTGGTGGAAAGTGACAATGACCCAAACAAGACGGTCTGTGAGGCCTGCAATATCACCTTCAGCCGCCACGAGACCTTCATGGTCCACAAGCAGTACTACTGTGCCACCCGTCATGACCCACCCATGAAACGCATGTCCAGCAACAAGGTCCCCTCCATGCAGAGAACCATCAGGGCCCGTAAGCGCAGGAAGATGTACGAGATGTGTCTTCCTGACCAGGAGCACCAGAGGCCCATGGGTCAGCCAGGTTTTCTCGGGGTTCCTCCAATGAACCCTTGTACATCCCAGGAAGCAGTAGAGAGCCTAGCAGATCGCTTCCACCCGCGCTGTGACATCTTCCCTGGTATGGTACCCAAACACCTGGAGGCCTCTCTGACTGTCACTAAACCTATCATGGCTCCCAAATGCAATACAGGGGAGCAACAGGAGCTGGACACTCCCATCGATCTCAGCAAAAAGTGTTCGCCAGCCTCTGACAAGACATGTAGCTCCCCTAAAAGACTGTTGGACTATCACGAATGTGCAGTGTGCAAGATAAGTTTTAACAAAGTGGAGAACTACCTGGCGCACAAACAGAACTTTTGCCCAGCAACAGCCGCCGCCGCTGCTGCTGCTGCTGCTGCTACCACTGCCACTCAACACCAGAACGAGACTGGCAGCATGGAGCCGACCATGTTCCCCGATGTGAAGATTGAAGCCAACAACAACCCAGATGAAGTCTACGATAAGAGCCCGGGCAAATGTGAGAAGAATGGCAATGGGAAGGTGTTGTTGCAGAATGGAGGCATGTTCCCCCCTCACTTGGGGCCCGCGCCGGGAGCCAAAACTTTTGCTGAGCCCCAGCTCATCCCATCAAAAGACGAGAGCAAGAATATGTTTCTGTCCCACTGCCTCTATCCCGGAGCAATAAAGAAGATGAAAGGTCCCGAGCAATTGTCGCCGTATTTCGGGATAAAGTCAACTGATTATGTGACTGGCGGACCAGCGATGCAGGGAGAGGCCAGCGAACAGGAGCAGAGCGTTAATGGGGGAGGAGGCACGGGAGGAGGGGAGACAGGAACAACCAGAGAGCAGGCCCAGCCGCCTGCTGCTAACGGTTGCCCCCACCCCGGCAAGGAACCCCTACCCCTACTGCCCAAAAACCGAGGCATGGTCATCGTCAACGGGGGGCACAAGAACGAGGAGCGTTCAGGCACGGCTCCTCCACAGCAGGAGAATCAGCCAGACGGCCAGCCCCCCAACCCTTCACCCACGTGGGCCACCGAGAACCAGGGCGACTCCAACGAGAACATGTCGCCTTCCTCCAAGTCTCCAAGCGAGGAGGCGCCGCCCACAACCAACAAAGGTGTGAACGGCTCTGGAAGTGGCAAGTACTGCCGCCTCTGTGATATCCAGTTCAACAACCTGTCAAACTTTATTACCCACAAGAAGTTCTACTGTTCATCACATGCTGCAGAGCATGTCAAATAAGTTGAGAAGAATAAGACACGTTCTTCTTCTTCCCCCCAGCCCTATTCCCTTCCAAACTTTGACCCCTTTTTTCTCCTATGTTTTGGTACACTGTTGTGTCTGGAATAGTGCATCACGCAGTGCTATACGCTGCTTGTGGACAATCAAGAGAAGCTTCTTCTTTCATTGTTTTAAGACTTGATAATGCAAAAACCATTGGTTAAAAAAGAAAAAGAAAAGAAAAATGAATCAAGAATAATATTGGTGCCACTTTCACATTAATTTATTTTACAATCAGTATTAATAGAAGTAGTGATCTTAATTTAAATTCAAAAGGAAATTTATATCAGAGTTGTTTGTAATGTTATTGTATAGTCATTCTTGTGTAGCACACATATTGTTTACACTGTAGTGTAGGCTCAATGAAACAAATAGACAATACAAAAATGAGATGCATTTTAGACACAAAAATAGCTACTGAGGCACTTGTGTATTCTTATTTGCTGTACCAGTTTCTGTATATGCTCAAAATGTCAATTGCAGATTGCTACTAATGACTTGTTTGCCTTAAAAAAAAGAAATCACCATTTGGGGGTGATAACCAGGCACAACCCTGCATCTCACATTTTGGCATATACACATGGCTTTGCATACATATGTGGCTGTTTGTCCCTGTCTCTTTTCTTCAACTCAGATGTGGATGTTTTCATGAGGATGGCAGCATTCTTGTATAGTACTCGTATTTCTGTTTGATGATACACTTTGGTCTCCCTTTTGGAAATTTGCTCTCAATGCAATACTTTGTAAATGAGGGAACATTACTGAAAAGCAGTATTATGAAATGGGGACTGTGCATATAATTATTTGTAAACCCCAAAGGGAAAAAAAAGAAGTTGTACAAGAATTTATTGCTGACGAACAAGATGGGCGGGAGGTCAGTGGGGATACTGATGTAAAAATGATCATTCCAATGTCCTGATTATGGGAGAAAATGTTTCTTAAAACGTTGTTGCTATGCATGTATATGGATGGAATTAAATTCCAGATCTGTTGGAAATTTTTATTTTGATGTGGTGTCATAATTAAACTTAAATCCTCAGGATAAACCGCTGTTGTCTGGTCTTTCTTTACTTGCAAATGTGAAAACTAGAGTATCTAAACATTTATTTGTGTAGGCAAAGTATTTGCTGGACTACAGGTCAATGCGAATTGTGTACTGTCCATTGATTTTTGCCATAACTTAATGACTGTGTTGAAGTATGGGGCAACATATGAGTAACTTCATTTATTTTACAAAATGTCAGTGAGAATTATTCATAATGTACATCCACAGGAACACACTGTTATTTACTCAGGGCTGTGAAAACTTAAGGATTTAATAGCATTTCAGAGTCTATTAGTTGTGTACAAAGAAAAATAAAAAATCACAACATTTCCAAAGATTGTTTGTCTAAAAATTCTGAGGACATGCTACATCGAAGAACATTTCATTTTAGGCATCCGTTTGCACTAACTACCTTAAAATATGTGTCTGTGCAGACATCTTTAGATTTAAGAAAATGCATACAAAATAATAATCAGACAGTATGAAGATGTTACGTAATGTGTTTTGCTTCTGGTAGATTTTTGTGATGACTGCTTGTTTTTTTCTGTTACTCTCAAAGTTTAAGTAACTGCCAGCTGTGACGACAAACAAGCTCATCTTGAATAAGGTGCAGGTAAAATCAAAGTTTTTCCTCCCTGCTCCTTTCCATCATGGTGTAAAAAGTGTTGTATGAATGATGTACCATGAGTGGAACAAATGCATTATATTAATGTTTACCCAATGAAACAGTTCACAAAAATAAGTCCAGCACACCTAACATTAGATGCAAAATAAACGACCGATTTACAAAAAAATCTCAAATTATCTTTGCAGGCCAGACTCATCTGCTCGAAAATTAAAAAAAAGTAATCAAGTCCAAAGACAGAGGTCCATATGTGGTTGTGATGTAACTCAATAAGTAACAAATGACACAGAGAGAGAGGAACTCAATTCATCTTCGCCTAAGGCCATAACAAGGCAGAATATTAAGGCCGAATGAAATAGATAAAAAAGTATCAGGGTGAGCATTGACGTGTGTGGCCTTTACATTGATAAGGGGTAATGTATTAATTTTTGTCTCAGGCCAATCGGGTAAAGAGGCTGAAATAACAACTTGAAGGATAAGATTTTCTGAATCTAAGACAGCAAATATTTCATCACGCTGAAAAACCCTCCAGTTATTCTCAATTCTAATGAAGCAGAGCTGCACAAAAAGATACGTGGACCTCTTGATGAACCTAACAAGTACACAGTCTCTACAGATTGCTGAAGGAAAAAATATTTGATTGAATATTTAAAACATATTCAATGGTTATACTCTAGTTGCCTGCATAGTGAACCCGGAAAGGTTGAGTACCTCAAAGTTTTATGATAGAAATGTATACTATGGGTACATAAAAAAACTGCCGGATGCTAACTTTCATTGGTTGGGCAATGTTAATAATTAGCATTAGAAGCGTTAATTAAAATGAATGGCATTATAACATACGTATAGAATAGTAAATAGTCTAGGCAGGTTTTGACAATTTTGGAGTGGTTTTTAGGGTTATTGAGGTTTCTGAATCCATTTCTGACATTTGCACGATAAAAAATTGCAGTTTTAACCAGAAAGTGGCAATATTTGTACTCTTGGTTGGCTAAGTCTGACTACCATGAGTAGTGTTGCAATCATTGGAGATAGACAGCACAAGGTGAAAATTATTAAATCTACTGTGGACAATTATTTTTGGAATAAATAGGCAATCTGTCCAATTCAAAGGATCCATAGTCCCCTGAATCCTCCAAATCGACCGAAAATGTATAGAAATCCGCCCACAGAGAGTACAAATATTGGCCATTTTTGATCCTGAAAAAGTCAGAAATGGACTCGGCATCCTCATAACCCCCAAAACCACTCCAACATTTTCCAAGCCATTTTTAAACTATTGTCCATGCAACTTATGCTTATTGTGCAAATTGCCCAACATATGCAAGTTAGCATCTGGCAGTTTCTATGTGCTGGGGACCAATACTATACATTTCTATCATAAAACGTTGGTGTACTCAACACAACCGGGTTCACAATAGGACTATGAGCTGGCAGCTAGACTACTACCCTGTGTGTGTCGGGGGGGATTGTTACATGTTGGCCACGGGTCACTCGCTCTGCTGTTTGGCTTGTCGTTGGTGGACTAGCTTCCTCAGGTGCTGGCTGATGGCAGATGGCTTCTTGTAGATCATTCGCCGGTCTGCTCCTTTTATGTGAATGTGATTGGCTGATGGGTAAGACTCCTCCAGAAACTTCTTTTGAAGCCTGGCTACCATCTGGTGCAGGAAAAAGATTTATTATGGATTTTACTACAGTATTGTCCAGTAGAAGAGTTACTAATGCATCCTGGAGTTGTTCTCTCACCTGGTTCAGATGTTCTGGTATTTCCTGGTCAAAAGAATCCCCAGTGATCACACTCACTGCTGTCCTGCTGGAGAGGGGCTTAAACTTGGTGATGTCCCTTTTGAAAACAACAAACAAAACATTTCAATTTCATGGTTCGTTTTCACTTCCACATTAAATATGCAAATTGTAAAGCTGTTCGGAAAGTAATGACAAAGACTGTTAGTGTACCTGACTTGAGCTGCACTTTCATTTAAAAAGTAATGCTCATCCACAGCACTGCTCTGGTGGGCAGGGTTGCTCATTAGGTATTTCTATAAGACAGAGAGAAAGAAAATAAACTAGTCAAAACACTTTTTTATTATTTCTTTGAGAGAGAGAAAACTAAAAAGCTATGTAATACATATATAAAGTTCCAATGTGTGTCACATTATAACACATACACAAATTAACCATTTCATGCTCTCATACGTTTAACAAAAACAGCACTATGACAAACTTTATACTACATCATTCGGTTATATCAAAAAGTCTGGGATATCAGGCAAATATTTCAGGAAGTGAAATAAATATGTATCCCTCTCTTTAACACTACAAGAAAGAATATGAAATTGGTGGAGGTCTGCGCTCTCCGAGTACCATTTCATTTTTTTACATATAACATTTATTTTGGGGTCACATTTGATCACTTTCTACCCAAGGTTCCCTTAAAAGAAATCAAAAACCAGACAAAGATGCCATTTAAACAGTTGTGTCTTTGTATTCTGAGAAAGCTGTATAGTTTGTGTCTACATATACAGTACATAAGCAGTTTATAAAACACAGTACCTTTTTTAGTATATATAACAAAGTAAGAAGTTAGAACATTGTGCAGCAGTGTTGAGAAAATATGTCGTATGAAGCTAAATCAATAGTAATAGTAAAAAAAGTCTGCATAATTCTTCACAATTCCAAGACTAAGCATTCATTGACAGACTTCACATTGTTTCAAGTTGAGATGCAAAAAAGTGAATCCGGTGAAATATGCAAGTCGTGAGATATGTCTACAAAATGATACATGAATACGAACAGCTTTACCTCATTCAGAACAGCCCTAACATATCATGTATATAAAAAAACAAAAGGTCTCATATTGTAACCCTTCTATAAGCACAGGTGGAGCCCTCTACCATAGAGTCCAATAGATGCAGGTTATGCATTGTAACACTAGTTCTGTAAGTAGAGGAATCTCTACTGGAGCCTTTGGTAGAAGGCTCCGCCGGGGTGCGTTAGAGCTGCACTTTCAGTATGACCATACACTGACTGAATCTATGCAAAAAGATGCCGTTACTTTTTAGTTGAAACGTAATTTGCATGTCCCAAGATGTGTTTTGAAAAGACATGAAAGCCTAAACAACACTGCAGTCTGTGTCTTGCTCCAGACAGAATACTGATACAACATTGTAGACCCCAGGAAATGCCCAATTCAGCGAAAATCCCCTTTACCTGCATCTATCTCTACCTGCATGTGATGAGACCGGATATACTGTATCTTGGTGCTGTTAACACGGAAGCAAACAATTCCTCTCCAGATCAGTTAGGCAGTGGTTACAGAACACGCCCTTGAGAAATGGACTGCATGCTCTATTGAGTCTGGCTTGTGAGTGTCTTATAACCTTCACTAGCCTGTCTACTAAACCTTCCTCTGTCCTTGGAGGATTTGCACACAATGGCATCCTTATCTCCCTGGCAACAACTATAATACTTGAAAAGCTGAAATGGGTCCCTCATCACTACTGCCATCAAAATGGTGGGTGGCGGGAAGCGGAGAACAAGGCGTCTTAACGTGTGCTCGCATTCTTCCTGAGCATCGTACAGAGCTGCAGCTACAAGAAAATGCTGAACAGATGTTAGAGGTGTCACAAGTTCTCCAAACAATAAAAAAAAAGGATTTGAAGTAGGACAGTATGGTTAAATGCAATAAAAAGCTACTAAATGAGATGTCCTGCAATAATCTCTTCTTATCTATGTGCATCATGTATGTTTACCCCTGCTGTAATAACGTTCCACTCCCCACAGAGCATTATTCCATGTTACCAAAGATATTGGTTGTTGTTCATCACCAGAATCTATTACTACTCCTTTCTGCCTGAGATATTTTCCATAGCAAGTCAAAAACGACTACAGGTCTTCCTGACAGGCAGACGTCAACACTGTGTCTTTAAAACAGCTTTACAGCAGATCTGAGTGTGGAATAAAAACATGCATGTAGTTTGTATTAAAATACTCTTCCTCACAGGCTGTGTGAAATGTCAAGAACAGAGTTTACATTACACCAGGCTTCAGAAAATACAGAGCCACTGCAGCCGCGTCATGTCAGCTAGAGGGACCGGGATCAATTTTCATTTATTTGAAAATGACGTGTGGCGTCATATCATGCCTGATTCACGGAGACAAATGCCTCTGCAATCATCATGCACCCGGATCTCTGCTGAGGAGGACACTGGATTGTTCTAACACTAGCACCATCCTGTGGTGGGATCGGAAAGATTCTAGGAGTCCATTTAGCCTTCATCTAGAAGGAAAAATAAAAATATTTGCCTTCATATTCTTAGTAAAGTGTCTGAGCAGAGGGACGAAACCAAAGTATTGTCTTCAAAGTTTATAAACATCCTTTGAGTGTCCCCGTGTGTGTGTGTGTGTGTGTGTGTGTGTGTGTGTGTGTGTGTGTGTGTGTGTGTGTGTGTGTGTGTGTGTGTGTGTGTGTGTGTGTGTGTGTGTGTGTGTGTGTGTGTGTGTGTGCATTAGCCTGACCTGGCGCTGGATGACCTCCTCTGAGACGTTCTCTCCGGTAACCGCCGGTTCCATCACCCCCAGAATAATCAGCAGGCGGCTCAGCCCTGTAGCTGCTGAGAACTGCCGGACCTGGAGAGAGGGCACCAGCTTACCCCACCTGAACAAACGCACACATTCACAATACAAAACTTTAGCAGGAGAAAAACTCAAGTGTAACAGTTTGAACATAATGATTTTTAAGGCTTTATTCATGGGTTTTGGGCCACTTGAGGCAACAGAAAAACTATGTATAGCGCTTTAGCCAACGTGATTAAGCTTGTTTAAAAATCTAGTAGACATGGAGTTACTATAGATGAGTTATTCAGAGCTATTTCACTGACTACTGCAATCTCTAAATTTCACAAATCATTTAATCAATTGTTAATAGAAAATATACTTATAATTGCAGTTTTTAAATGAAACCATGAACACCAGAGAAAAGGGCATTCGTCATTAGGAAATATAACTTTATTTCTATGGCTCGAATGAATTGCAGGATCTGCACCACAACCATATTTCAGAGCCGTTTGAGGACAGTAGGAAAACTGATCCTATGATCCAACTGCCAACCAGAATCCATCCCAATACCAAGTTGTAAGGGTTCCACACAGGAGGTTACTTCAATAAAAAGGTATGTGAGCTTTTTTTATCAACAATAAAGTGTTTGTATTGAAATAAAGGGCATTTTGATCTTTCTACTTTTCCATTGATTTCAAATGTTTAATTGTGTCCTTTTCTTCATTTCTTTCTCAGACCAATACAAGATCATAAATGTAAATGTTGGTGCTTAGTATGTAACATTAGTTCGTTATATTTGGTATTAATTCATTATTGTTAGAAAAAGTAGTTATTGTAATTCTCTTTCAGACTGTAGGTTTGCCAATACTCTTTGTACTTGAATCTCCAAATGTAAGATTTTTGATTCTCAGCCACATAAAGTGTAAAATGTCCCTCCAACAACAAGTGTGATTTTGTGATCACAGCAACAGTGACTCAAGCAAACTTTCAAAGACAATTCCTCCAGCCTTTTCCAACCGAGAACCTCAAAGTTTCTCTCGAAAACATTTGCCTGGCGAATGAGAAATATTCTTTTTTTTGGCAGATGAGAGAAGAAGAGCTGTGGGATTTTGTAACTCAGGAGGCCCAATCGGTCTCGGCTCACTGGTGCTCTGAATTGGCTGGTCTCAGCCTGTGGAGCCCAATCAATAGTGGCGTGCGCCGGCTGCCGCCATGGCCGCACCGCGCAGCCTGCCCCTGAACGCAGCCAACACACTGCAGATCAGCCCCCCCCCGGGAACAGTGTCCTCTTCTTCCTGCTGATCTGGCCCACACACAGCTCTGTGCCCCTGTGGACTATCACTCTACAATATATCATATTATAAACTAAGTATATTGTTGTTGGGGAAATACTCCATGTATTCTTCCAATATCAGAGTACACATGATAACAAAGGTATCCCAACTGTAGCTGTGAACATGACAGGATGTCTGATTACCTAGAAGAGCATCAGGACTGTTGTAGGCACATGATAGCTATGTGATTAACATGATGATTCAGCCTGTATGGAGATAGACATATGACAAGCATGCTCATTTCTGACGTGGAGCTAATCTGAAGTAAACATTGAATACTGCTTTCTATTCCTCCATCTTGTGACTGTGTGACTCCCTCTCTTGGATATCAGCATGTGAAGGACACTGTTCAGGAACTAGTTGATGCTCTGTATGTGATGACTACTTTCATTCTTGCAAGGATAATAAATACATGTATCCTGTTTTGAAACTCAAGCTGGTGACGAGTGATATTTTTCTAACAATTGTTAGAACAATTGTTATACCTGAGAAATGACTGATGATAAAATATCAATATGCTACAGCAATGCAATTATTTTGTTAATTATTTTACCAATTATTGCGGGATCCAAACTAATGATCACAGTGAGGTTGACAGCTGTTGAACGGATCGTTGTAAAATCTGGTAAATTCGTTCATGTAGTTTCATTTCATTTGGAGATTGATTTTATTGTTGGCGTATATTTGATCGTGGCAGTGTATATACAGGCAGGAAATGTGGTTATGCGCCTCAACAATATAGGCTACCGGAGAGTCTCCTAAAAAGGGGGAAAATACAAAGACTCCAGAATTCCAGACTTTTTGAAATGTTGACTTTATTTGCCTTGTTAGCTTAGTAAGCTTACAGTGCATGCCCTATAATTTCAAATTGGGTTTGGAACCTTTGTTGCGTGTCATATAAGTCTTCTTCCTCTCCCCAATTTCTACACTGTCTGATATTAAATAAAGGCAAAAAGAAACCACGAAAAAAGTATTAGAATAATAAGATGTACAAAGAGAACATTGCATTTAAAAAAAGCATGAAATAGTAAGCATTATATGTCTAATAATAGCTTCCTGCAGTAACTGTCACATAAATTAGTGCTCAATACCCAGTGTTTAAGGAGGAATCTGTTAGATATGGCAAGCAAGTCTATGTGTATGATTGTGTATTTAGGGGGGTGGGTGAAAAAGCAATACTTGTTTAAAAAAAGGGGAAGTAATTAAGAAAATTAATAATTGTATATTTAAAGTGTCAGCTATTGCAGTATCGGAGGTCTTGACAGAGCTTAAAGCTTCCTATTTTAAGGGGGAGGAATGTGGAATTGTGTGGAATGTTTCCAGGGTGAAGATATGTCCATGTGTGTATGTATGTAAATTGATATTAATGAACTGGGACTAAGATCTGTGAAATTAATCTAAAATCTCATGTCACAGCACAAGCCAGTACTTGATTCAACAACAGGCAGACTTCAGCGCTTCTTCACCTTCATTATTTTCCTCATATCAAACATCATAAAAATGTTTATTTCAGTTGGAAAAAATAAACCATTGAACCTGTTAATGATGTAACATGTGACCTAATGAACTGCAAATCTAAGTATCAGAGTCTGCTCCGACAAAGCATGTCAGCGGTGAATGGTCAGATAATCTGATACACACAATGCTTGTTCCACTGCTACACACAGAAGTGAGAAGATAACACATTCAGTCCCCACATGTCAAGAATAAATAGATGCAGAACGAGGGAAAGAAATAACTTGGCTGTTCTCATTTTCAGTCTTCAGCAGACAGAGAAAACTTTTCAAATCAGACCTCTGGAGAATGACATTTTGACATTTTCATCTTCCCTGCCACACTTTCCCCCCCGAAGTCATTCTGGTACCACAATTTAGTCCTGACTCTACGACCCGGCTCTTAAGGGACTTCTCAGTCTCTGCACATTTTCCACCTGTCACCTCTTTTCCTACCCCTTGATTCCAAAAATAAAAAAGGTAGAAGAAAAGAAAAACCTCTTTCCCTATCAGCCCCCTGGTTTCGAATCTGGTCAAATCATCCCTGGGTCTGGCATTGAACATTATTTCAAGGATTCTCCAGCCACCTGTCCTATTCCCTCCTCTTTTTCCCATTTTTAATTCTGCCCCGGAGTGAGGATTATGCGAAGCAAGGCATGCGTGTCAAAGGGAAATTTAGTGGGTAAAGACAGCCAAGATTGGCGGGATGAATTAAACAGATAACGGGAGGAGACGAAGTGGGGGAACCATGTAGAGCAAAACGCCTCACCGATGTTGGTCATTTCAGAGGGGCTCTTTTTTTTTTCTCCCCACAGGAGCGAGGAGGCAATATCTAAATTAATAAAGTGATGAAATGAGTTTGTGCCGTGGACTTTCTGCTGTTTGACTTTCCCATCTGGATTAGTGCAGGCTGAATGGACGCTCTGTTACTTTTGTTACAACTGCGCAATTCACTGTCGGAATTTGGCCCTGTAGTGATAAGGCTCCCCCCCTCCTCCTCCTCCTCCTCATTACCATCTAATTTCATATGCAGGGCCTCTGTTACCTGAGAGCCTGCTCACACACAAAACACCAACTATTACACGAGCTACTGCCAACTATTACAATGAACAGAGAACATTTAAACACGGACTATTACATGAGGCTCAACTAACTATTACGCTGAAGGAACTTTTTTTTTAAAACAGCAAAGACTTAGACACTATTAGAGGGCATGTGGACGTGCCCTCATCCGGGGTGCATGATGAGGTCTCTAACGGTCTTACAGGAAGGACAATTTGGACATATTTGGAAGAATTCTATCATCGCCAAAATCCTTATTGTAGCTGAATTACCTACAACAGTACCCTTAGGCACAGTCAGTGTATGGAGAGCATGCTTGGAGTACTTTGAGTGATTATATTATACATGGTAATTATTGTGTCAGTTTGGTGCTAGTGTATTAGTTTCCTAGTAATCTGCATTATAGATTTACATAAAGGACTACACAGGAAATAGTTCTCAGCCTTGCATGTGTTATGTCTTCAGTGAAACAGGAACTATCAATTCTTAAGAAGTAACTTGTAACTATGCTAGTAACAACAAAGCCTTGAAACAGAGCCACTCATCAGCATGTTGTGTGGCTCGCATCATTCATTTAGTTAAAGTAGTTGCCTGTTTAATATATATGCTATTGAAGTAATAATGATGTTGTATGTTGAATCACTTTCCATTGTCAAATGAGACTATGGTCTACTGATAATTGCAATGTTTGAATGTGGAAGTATTATTGACTGCCTGTTGCAACAGCTCCTGTTTTAACGTTGTATTAAGTTTGATTATCCAACGGTTCCTACTCTTGAAATGACAATCTTCTAACTAGCGAAGCAATGATTGTTTCCCTGTGGTTTAGTCACAAAGGTTTCAAGGTTTACAGCAAGCACTTTAGTGGAGCTGATTTGTTTTAGAAACAACAGGACCAGGCTATATTTCTTCAGGCATAAATGGCATTATTGCTCAATGAGAGATGGCTTTGAAGGAGCTAGCAGAACAGATGCTAGTCTGGATATGAGGTTATGACTCTATTGGGCCTTTTCCAACATAGAAATGTAGAGACCTGCTGTTTGCAGTGTCATTATTGGCAGACAACTATGACAAGAGTTTGACTTCTATAGATTCTTCATTTGTTGTTCTTCTTAACATTTACATGTGATTACTTTTGAACATCAGTATTGCAACAGAGGAGCATTTCCATCTGGACTTCATGAAATCGACAACCAATTAACATGAGCCAT